AAAATTTCTAGTTCTTTTTTTATTTCCCAATGTTGAAATCTCCTTGATGTCAAGTACTAATTTGCAGTTAAAAATTGCTCATTCAAAAATGGTAATTTTAATGCGACGCTCATGAAAGTTTTGAATATATCATTTATTTGAATGATGTGGAAGTGTATGGCAAATGGACCATTGGTCTAAACGCAATGCTAATTTATCTCGTGTATGAAAGATACAACAAGAACAAAACAAAAGATTAGCAAATCTCTAGGAGTCAGTTTACGCAACTTCGCTGTAGTATGCTTTCAGAAGAAACATTGCCTCAATTAGGTCTTTTGAGGGTTATAACGTGGTCTGGTTCACGATTCTTGAAACAAAGGATATAAGGCTCAAAATTTGATTTGTATCCACCCTTTCTTTGTGATGATCTCCATTCCAATATTCAATTAATTCTACACACATTTGTCTTTCCAGAGGGATTTGACGGTGTAAGAGTGAAAGTGATGATTCAAGATTATCTTGAAGTGACAATCACTTTATTTTGTTTTTTTGGATGTCAATAACCATTTTGATTTTGGATATGGTGGCCACTGAATCTGGTCTTGTTTTTACTGAGGGTTTGAGGACCTCTTTTGATTTTTATTTTGATCCCTAACTTTTGCATGAACTGATTTTGCTTTTCGAGTCCATCTGGATTGCCTTGATTTTTTTCCTAAGTCTCATTTTGAGGGGTTCGACTTAGCAGGCTTTTCGATTTTGATTTTTGATTTTGCTGAAAGATTGTGACTGGCAAGTCATTGGTCATTCAAGAACAAATATCAGGTGGTTGATCCTTAGATGGAATATATTCATCTTGTAATTCAAATGTGTGGTTAGATTGACTGAACACTACCCTGCCCCAAGTTGAGCGTAAGGTTTTATAAATCCGAAAGAAACTCCTAGTTCTAGGCTCAAAGTGGTTAACTAGGGATTATATCCTTACCTCTCCAGTGTTTGGGGATTTGAAACAATGGATGTACATCATCAACCAGATTTTATCTGAAACTATACCACAACAATTAAGGTTATTAGGTTTTCATCATCCTCCCTCTAATATTTGCTAAAAGAACAGTTTGATTAAGAAAGTGAAGTGGGGGAATATATTTTTTTTGTATTTTTGTGATAATATGGAAAAAAAGATGGGTGAATACGAAAAGACTAATTCAAAACATACATAATCATTTCATTAATAAAACCAAATACAAATAACAATTCTTAAATCAAACAATACTTAGACAACAAGAAGGAAACATAAGAATGCAAAAAATGGAAACATGGCATAATGACTGCCTTTATTTGAGCTCCTCTTGACTGAATGGTTATTGAACTAGCTTCTTCAGAAACCACTCTACTTGTCTTCAACAACCCCTTCAATAGCATTCACTGACGGGCCATATGCGGCGGCGTGGGGTTTGTCGCAACATTTGGATTATTCGGTGTGAAGTTGAGCTCCTTTGAGTCAATCAAGTCTTGAACTTTGTGCTTGAAAGCTTTGCAATTCTCGATTGTGTGCCCCGGGGCACCCTTATGTTACTCACAATGAGCGTTGACATCATATCCTAGGGGGATAACAGTTGGAGGTGCTAGATCTCTCAAGGCAACTGATCCATCCTTTAGTAGATAAGGGAGGATTTGGCTATATGGTACAGGTAGAGGATCAAATTGTCTCTCTGGCCTCCTCGCCCTTTGTGGAGCGCGTTGCTGCTGGTTCGGGTGTTGTTGTTGATACCCATGTTGCTGATATGGCAGTTGTTGTTGGTAAGCCAGATGTTGGTATGGAATAGGTGCAACAACAACCACTTGATGATAGGGATTTTGTTGTTGACGTATCTGGGCAGGAACTGGAGTCAGAGCAACTTGCTGATAAGGCACATGAGCATATTACGCAACTGTAACATACGAGTGTTGATAGTAAGGTACTAAAGTAGGCACCCTCTGATGTGTTTTTTCACCATGAGAAGATACAACATTTGTTTCACCTCTTTCTTTTTAAGCCTGTTGAAAGGTTTCTTGATTCTAGTCTGGCTACTAGAACCCCCTAAATCTTTCCCCTTTTCAAACCTTCTTCAATTCTCTCACCAAATCACCATGTCTGAGAATCCTGAAGACACACTACTGATTAGTTTTTCATAATATTGCCCTTGCATGGTACTCATGAAAATATCAATCAATTTACGGTCAACCAGCGGTGGATGCACTATTGCAGCTAAATCGATAAAACTCCTCACTAGCTTGCTACACTGAATGTGATCATCGCAAGAGGGACAAAAAATGATGCAGATCCAAATTTATCAAAAAAATGTAAAGCAAAAAAAAATTTAAAATGTTGCAAAAACAAAATAATGATGTTGCTAATGCAAAAGTGTGACCAACGCAACTGGGTCGAACCAATACAAATGCCACACATTATGCTCACCAATATACAAACAGCGCATCGACATGATTCAATCGAAAAAAATAACAAAAATAAAAAAAAAAAAATTTATTAAGACTTATTAAAACGAGACGTGCTGCCTATATATATATTAGATGTGCTAAGCATATATTAAAAGACTAAAAAATAATAATAGTAATAATATTAAATAATATTATGTTACAACTCGTTACAGTGTCTTTTATATATATATATATATATATATATATATATATATATATATATATATATATATATATATATATATATATATATATATATATATATATATATATATATATATATATATATATATATATATATATATATATATATATATATATATATATATATATATATATATATATATATATATATATATATATATATATATATATATATATATATATATATATATATATATATATATATATATATATATATATATATATATATATATATATATATATATATATATATATATATATGACACAAGGATAACAAACAACATAGGCTATATTATATATTATAGTGTATTAGAACTTGTCACTTAAGATTACCATAGAAAAATATGTTACATATTTAGATATATGTGTTAACATGCATATAGTGTGTATTATTAGGGTTACTAGTGTGTATTATATGTGGATTAGTAATATGACTTACGCTAGCGACTGTGTAACGATGAAAGTAAACCAATGAGGATATACCATAATTTTTTTTTATCTTTACTATAATCTCATAAAAGCTTAGGAACGGCTGCGTATATCTTCTCCCCCTCCTTTTTTTTTTCCGCAATCAAAGATAGTATATATAGTGTGTATTATTAGGGTTACTAAGTGATCTGGTCTGATCAGAAGGGGAACAAAGACTTGCCAGACGCCGTTGATCTGCTGCCTGCTCATCGGTGTGTGACAAGTCTTTGGTCCCCTTCTGATCAGGCCAGATCAGTGGCGCCGACTGTGGGGAGGTTCTGTCCGACGGAGGCAGTGTCTGGTCGACGGGGAGTCTTGTGCTCGACACAGATGAGGAAGGTTCTGCCCGACGGGACAGTGTCTGGTCGACGGGGAGTCTTGTGCTCGACACAGATGAGGAAGGCTCATTTGGACCTTCCCCCAAGTGTATGTGGGTTGGGGCTTCCCAGTTAGTCCGGGGCCCAGGCTAGAACACTAAGTTTTAAATTTTTAAATGTTTTTAATATCTATTTTAAAGTCTAAATAAAATAATATTTAATCTAAAATAAATATTTAAAATAATATACTAATTATTTATTTATACTAAATATTTATAGCGGATTCTAAATAAATAAAAGTCGGACGCCCAAGCGCTCGAAAAAAATAAATCGAGTACACTAAAATGATCGGTGTGAAATAAACGACTCATAAAAATACAACGTTTGGTCAGATTTTAAAATAAATTTTAACCCGTTAAAATACTCAAATCGATAAAAATGCGACGAAATATGGTTGAAAAATTAAAACGAACACGTCAGGTTAAACTATGCGAAACGTAGATTGATATAATTCATGTCTGCCGGCTCAATTTTTAAATTTTCCGTCCGCTGATTTTACGCACCGTTGGGATTTAGTTTGATCATTCTGTCTGTAAATCCGAGAAATTATTTTGTGTGACATTTTAAGCACTATGTGAGATGAAATTCATATTATGCTATGCAAAGTAAAAATAAAGTCAGATGCATGAAAAATTTAAGATACCTGGACAAAATTGGGGTGTGATAATTAGTTAACGGAGGCACAACGAAAGATTTCAAGCCTACAAGGGGTCTTAGACAAGGTGACCCCTTGCCACCTTTCTTGTTTGCATTGGTAGTTGAAGCTTTGGCTTTTTGGTAAGAAATTCAAATCATAAAGAGTTATTCAAAGGATTTCATATTAATGAGAAAGACTCTATCAGCCTTGCTCTATTTGCCAATGATACTGTCCTGGTTAGCGATAGATCTTGGTCGAATCTCTGGGGATTTAAATCTATATTAAGGGGTTTTGAACTCATTTCGGGTTTGAAAATAAACTTCTGGAAAAGTTGTCTATATAGAGTAGGTTTGGAGAATTCTTTTCTAACTACTACAGCTAAATTCTTGGCGTGTAATTCTAGTAAGCTGCCTTTAAATTTCCATGGTATTGCTTTAGGTGGGAAGCATAGAAGTGTAGGGTTCTGGAAACCTATTATGAAAAGCTTTAGAGCAAAACTTTCAATTTAAAGGGAGAGATTATTGTCATTTGAGGGGAGACTAACATTGATAAATTCTGTCTTATCTAATCTCCCAATCCATTATTTTTCCTTCTTTAAAGTTCCATCTAATGTTGTGAAAAAGTTGATTAGCATTCAGAGACAATTTTTATGGTTAAGATCTTGTGATAAGTTGAGTATTGCTTGGGTAAGTTGGGAGAAAGTATGCAGGCCAAAGAGTAAGGGTGGACTGGTAATTAAGAATTTAGTGAGTTTTAACAAACCTTTATTATCCAAGTGGTTGTTGAGATGTATTAGTGAATCTTCTGCATTATTGAAAGGGTTGCTTACCTTGAGGTATGGAAATCTAAACACAAGAATCATGGTGAAGAGGGAACTAAGGTATATGCCAAGGGAATCACAATGGTGGAGAGACTTAATGAGTATTGGTGACTCAATTGAGGAGGGGAGCTTTTTGAGTCAGGTCTCTTGCAAGATTGGGAATAGGCGTTTTGTATCGTTTTGGCATGCAAGCTGGCTGGGCCATGAACCGCTAAGGGTTATATTTCAGAACTTGTACAATGCCTCTGTTATGAAAGGGGGTTCTGTCATGGACATGGGTAATTTTGTAGGGGAAGTTTGGATGTGGAATCTGCACTTGGGGAATCTTGATTTAATAGGTAATCTGCTGGAGAAGTACACTGATTTGTTGAATTTGCTCATGGAGGTTAGGTTGCGTCTGGGAGTTGAAGACTGCTTCGATTGTAATGGTTGTAATTCAAGGAGTTTTATTGTTAACTCTTGCTACTTTGCATTGCAAAACACGGGTGCAATATCAGATTTGGAGATTGATCTCAAGACGATTTTAGATTTGATATGGAAGACAAAGGTTCCTTTAAAGGCACACATTTTTTGTTGGAGATTGGCATTAGATAGACTACCTACCCGATCGAATCTTGTGTCTAGGGGAATAATCTCAAATGTCCATGTTATTGTTTGTGTGTTATGTTTTACTGTAATGGAAGATAATAATCATCTATTTCTTTCATGCCCTCATACTCGATTGATTTGGAGAAAAATTTCAGAATGGGTGGGAATCGAGTGGATTGAAGGTGATAATGTAGGTGATCACTTGTTAAGTTGGTTTTTGAAGATGATGAGGTTCAACTCAAAATCTACGACATGTAACATTTGGATTACTACGTGTTGGACTATTTGGTGGACATGTAATCAAATTATTTTCAATTACGCGTTTGGAAATACATTTGATATCGCGCTTAGGTCCATACATACGTCATGGTGGTGGTTAGATTTCTGGTCTACGACCAAAAATAAATGTAGTTACTATGATTGGTACAAATCTCCTACTGATTTTTTGCAGTTGGAGATTTTAGTAGGAATTTTTTAATGGACTGGCTAACTGTATTGGTATCTCTTGTATATGGTTTGGGGAATCCCTAATCTCCTTTTTTTTTTAATATATTATTGCATATAAAAATATGTATTTTCTGCACCTAGGATACAATATATATATATATATATATATATATATATATATATATATATATATATATATATATATATATATATATATATATATATATATATATATATATATATATATATATATATATATATATATATATATATATATATATATATATATAAATAAAAGTGAGCATAAAACCATTATTTTGAAGTTTTAATCTTTATGGAATTGTTGTCACTAATTTATCTCTAAATTTTATCTTGGAGTGAATCATATTCCTTGTGTTGTATTGTATTATTCTTCACATTTAGTTCACGTAGACTTGACATTAAACACAATCCAACCACATGGATATTGTTAAGAAAATAATAATTATTCTTTATATTTTTAGTTGTTTTATTCCGATAATCATTACTATCCTAGAGTGTAAAATTGACTTTTCAAGAAATAGTTGGTATACTTGATATTAATTAATTAAAAAAAAACGTGGTTGTCTCTTAAGTTATTTTAATAAAGGGACAAATTCATTTCATCCTAACCGAAGAGTTAGATGGTCTTAGCATCACTGAAGGGTCAAAATCATTTCCATAAGAAATCGAAATAACCTTAAATAAAATAAAACATAGCCATTTTTTTTTAATTGAAAACAATTCACAATCATTCATTACATCTTCGATATTAGCTTTGATCATATAACTGTTTAAACAAAACATTATACTATGAAACTTTTAATTTAAAATAAATGTTAACAAAGGGACTTTTGATGCATTTTCTCTACCATCAATTCTTTTCAATAGTCATCATTATTATTTCTATTAAGGGACTTTTTTCCTTATTTATCATCAAAGGTTTTAAGAGAAATATTTAAAAAAAAAAAAATATATATATATATATATATATATATATATATATATATATATATATATATATATATATATATATATATATATATATATATATATATATATATATATATATATATATATATATATATATATATATATATATATATATATATATATATATATATATATATATATATATATATATATATATATATATATATATATATATATATATATATATATATATATAATTTAATAAACAAAAAAAAGAAAGAGTTAAAAGGATAATACAATACAGTTATATACTATAGAACTATCTATTAATAATTCCATTTTTATAAATGGCTTCTTGCAATTTCTAAGTGGTAAAAATTATATATTTATATTTAACGAAGTATGAAACTTAAAAATGATCAAACATATTTCAATTTTCTTCATGCAAAATTAGAAAAATATGACTCAAATTCAGAAACTTGTTTATTGTTTAATAATCTTTCTTTCTTTATTTGTTGAAATCTATGGAGGCAAGTCTTTTTTAATGCCATTCAAATAATCTTATTTATCTAAGCACACACTTTCGTAATCGTTTTGTAATATTTCTTTTGTTCTTATTTTACATATCAGGCTATTTTCCTTGCAAACATTGGCGTGATTGTCCAAAAAATTTGTGTTTCAGTCCTCAACGCAGAAAGTGTGTTAATCTCTATTGTGAATGCGGGTAAGCAAAACAATCAAGTAGACAAATACTTTTATGTTCTTTTTTTATTTTTAAATTCAAAGCATGAATGATATACCTAAATATAAAGTAGAAACAAGAGTTATCAAATATATAAGAGAAACAAAAAGCATAATAAAATCACAACAACGGCAAAAACTAGGCTGAACAGAAAAAATTTAAGAGCAAAACAATACAACAACATGGTAAGAAAAAATCGAGTCAGTCAGTCCAATTAACTAATAAGGATTGTGCATGAATTGGACTCCATGGTTGAAAGAAGACTTATAAGGATTGATTGATAGTATCGATATCAACAAGATGCATCTTCTTTTCGGTAACTTAACAAATTAGAACTCCATAGTTAGGTGTACTTAACATGGAGTAGTATTTGGATGGGTGACCTTCTGAAATTTTTTTATAAAGCGTGTGAGTGAAGACAAAGCATGATGAAAAGATCTGTATTAGTTTGTGAGGCATTACACTCCATAACTCAATATAACCAGATACAATTTGATGCATCACTAGACTGCCAAGTTGGCATCTATTTTGATTTAACTTCTAATAGAACTTTACGACTTTAGATGGCATCCAACTCTTCAAAATCCTAGAAAGGCCACACAACACCTTCTCCAACCTAATTTCTCTAGAACCATTCAAAGCCAAAACATTATTATAAGAAAATCTCATCGAAAACCTTGAATTTAGATCTGGTTTCTGTTGGATAGTGGTAGTTGGAAGTGTGTAGCAACACTAGAACAAATAAGGTATTGATGAAGAAGGCACTCAGAAAACTCAGAGCGTGTGAATTGATACTAGCCTTTTGGTTCAATTCACCCCCACCAATTATTATATAACGGATGCAAAAGGGATTAACAGAGATTTTCCTTCAGGATACTTTGAATACCTTAATGTGAAATTGCACAAATGCACTAAACTTATCTTTTGATAATCGGTTACAGAAAGATGTTTCCTACACTTCACTCATGCATTAATGAAATGAATGATGATTGAAAATAATTGTAATATGAGAGAAATGGATTAGAAAAGTCTGATTTCGTGTATTATTTTTAATTCACAATTGTCTCTATTTATAGAGAAAATGATGTCACTTGGTGAAGAGAAACATCTTTTGAATAAAGTTCTGCATTTGAAATAATACATCCTTATATTCTTTTAACATTGAAATCATTTAGAGTGGTAGATGCGCGCGTCCAGTACCTAAAGGTCGTAAGTTCTAAATCGCGTTGGATCATTTTGAATTAGATTTTTATTACTAATTGTAAACCAACTTTAATTCAAAAACGTCCAACATCATAACTGAACCCAACATCTTTCTGATAAAATAAAAGTCTTTTACTACTAGGACAACAATTCACAATGTGATAATTTTGCTTGCAATTTATATAAAAATGATATTTTGGAAATTACTTACAATCCCCCACCATTTACAAAATATAACTAAATCTCATGTTTATGGAAATATCACGGTTTCTGGTAATGGTATTTTACGGTTTTAACTATTACTTAGTAAGTTAAGTTTTCACTCATCCCCAAATAGATTGGTAGACAATCTCTGAACCAGTTATTAATCATAACAAGTGTGTATAAATTACACGTAAAATCTCGGTACTATCAAAATAATTATAAAAATTGACACACTTAGTAAGGCCTCGTGTCCCGTACCCTTTTCATGAGAATTTAAGAGTAAGCCCTTTAACTCTATGAAGCAACCCACTTCATTCTCGTTTAGGTAGACTATATAAAAATTTCACCCATAATTTTGCATTCCAGCAAACATATGTTGTATGTCTATTAAGAGGAAAACTTCATCTTACCACATGTGTTCTTATGGTCCAAGTACTTTTACCCTTTGGGATGTATCTTCTGTCAAGTACTTTAATCACTATAATAATGTACTTTTATCACTGAGCTCAAGACTTGATATTAATCATGTGCGAGTTGAGTTTCTATTATTAGTGATTATTTAAATTAGTTTATATCACATCTCTACCCGATGTCATCAACATTGTATCCTTGTTAATCACTTCTTCAAATAATTGCAAGATATTTCTATTTTATTAATTTGAATATCGAAACACACACATAGCTATACCTTTTATTTACTTTTTATATTTCAACCAACTATCACACAACCATGATAATATAGCCACCGAATAACTTCGAATCTCATACTACCATTTTAAATTATTCAACATTTATTATTAAACCATTTAATAAGAAGCAATACGATTTAAAGTTTTACTTTTTTTTCCAACAAACACACAACAAAATATACTTAATGCAAGAAAGATGAAAAAAAAAACAATAAACATGATTTACCAGTTTTATATACCCAAAATAAGCATGATCGTAAATTTATCATATTCAACATTCATTCTATAGAGATGGTTCAAGCACTATGCCAAAAAGGTTATTTAATAGCACTTTTTTTTATACTTTAATAGCGCTTTTAAGAGCTATTAAAGTCGCCGCTATTATAAATTCGTCACTTATAATAGTGCTTTTAAAGCGCTATTACAGTCTCTTTTTTAATAGTGTTTCTTTTATAATCGCTAACATAGCCGGTTGGTATGTCTAATTTATTTCCAGCATTTAATAGCGTTTTTTCTCCAAGCACTATGTTATGCTATATTATAATAGCGCTTTTTGATATTAGCGCTAAGTTAGATGCTATGTTATAATAGCGTTTTATTAAAAAGCGCTATTATACCTACAATTTTTTTTTATTTTTTTACATTTTCTTATACCTTTTATGTTTTTTTATATCTGTGAGATATTTTTTAGTGATTCAATATACTAAAAAATAAAATTAATGTTCTTCTAAAAATGTAAATGTCAATAATATATCATATAAGAAATAAAATGACACATAAACATAAACACATGTCAATTATTATACTTAAAAAGATTAAATAACATAAAAAAGAAATAATATTTTCTATTTCAAAGGTAAATGAAATGACATTAATCCAAAACATATTAAACTCGTTATATGTATACTTATTTATATAACAAATTTTATTAAAGGCATATTAAATATTTTATGATCTATATTTATGAAAATATTAACAGCCAAATTTTATATTCAATTTCTTTATACTTAATTACAAATCTCACTGTTATATAAATATACCACACAATAAATTATACAAACAAAATAAAACCATACTTTATTACATACTACAGAAACTTAATTATAACTTTTTCCGATATCAAATACACATTCTTAAAAGTGAGTAATTTCTAGAAGTTACTTCTATGCAACAAGATAATCCTTTCGTGTACTTGAGTTCTTCTTTTTGTTCATCTTTTTCAAGGACCTATATTCACTTTTA